TGGAGAGTGTTTTAACCTCTCCGAATCTTGATTTCCTTATCAGAGAATAATATAAGGGACTACAAACTTTTTTGTGGAAAAATGGAATTAAAGTATGATTATTTTGGCATAAAATAACTTTAAAATCTATACTTTTTTCAAAATATGCATTTTTCAGTGAAGACCCTTTGTATCTGTCTCACATGATTGGTTAGAAGAGTAGATTATGAGATAAAAAGCCTAGTTGTGAAGAAAATGTATGTTCCTTTTTTCTTTTTTTTGGAGAGATTTTTGCTATAGGGCGTGTATGCATGCTTGCCAGAAAGACGGAGAGAGATAAAAAGCGAGAAATTATCCCCCAGGCAGATGGTCATGCCACAATCCCTTCTCCTCCATTCTCCTCTTGAAATCTTGGGCACGCATGCACATGCGCCTGGCATTGAATTTAAGCCACCGGGTCCGGGACTCGAACCACAGTAGACTATATGGGAGTACAGTGACATAGCCATTATGCCAACTGCTGGTCCCAAATATTTCTTTCTTTATGATGCTATTGGCAGGATGGAATTCTGCATTTTCATGTTTCACTCATGTCAGAGAGAACTAAGTTAAAGTGGTGCTAACTGATAGAAATGGACAGGTTGTGGCATCCAGCACAGAGACATTCCTATTAACGGAACTACTGTATCAAAAGTTTCCAACATTTTATCAGACAATCATAAACTTAATTGGAAATCTAAAGAAAAATAATTCAAAAGTGTACTTTGATGTGGCTTGTTTCCTTTTTTAAAAAAAAGTCTGCCTTTTATTTTATGAGAGGGATTTTTTTGAGCTATCAGACTCTCTTCCCAATAATTACAGGAATATTTACAAATGAAATAAAAGTGTTGTTGATAGAACTGATCAGTAGTAAACCAAATCTATGTCCTAGCATGATAGGAAAATGAGAGGTAATGCTGTCTTTCTTAGTCATATTCTATATAGGATGGTTGGTACCTTCTGTGATTCTAAACATAATAGCATACTTTCTGTATTTGTAGTGTTTAAAGACTATGTGAGGTTTGGAACCAAAGCCCATACAAAAGGACCTGAGAGGATATACCCATATAGTATGCTTGGGTATTCTGATCAAATTAATGCTTCAGCAATTCATGGATGCCACTTGGAATGGTTTTGGAATGTTCTTGGCCTAATGCCCAAGCAAGGGGATTTACTAATGTCTTCATATAGTCATGGTCATCTAAGTAAGGGTTCCCATAGATAGAAATAACTTACATATTTCCAATAGCAAAAGAAAATAACGTTTTAATATTGCATATGTCCCCTTAACATTAGGTAATTCATGTAATTTCAAATATGCCACAGTGATACATTGATCTGTCCTTTCTTTTTCAATACTGTTGTCATCAAGTCATCCTCAAAACTATCTGAAACTCCATGTTTAAACGTTCAGAATTCTTCTCAGACTGGGTGAACATGGGTTGTATTTTTCCTTAATTCAAGAATACTACAATGCAGAAAGACTGAGAAAATAAACTTTTAAGTTGGCTGGAGCTGAGTTTTTGCCAATTTACTTATTAGTTACATAAATATGATCAAATTATATCTTCAAGAATCAATGTCCTTATCTGTAAAATGGGAATCATGATACCTATTTGAGGGCATTTTGAGAAGATTGAGTATGATAATACATGTAAAACGCTTAGCACATGCCTGGCACTTAGTAAGAGTCCAGTCAATTTTAGTAGAAAAAACTTATTTAAACCTGAAAAGAAACCACTTCTTTATTCTTTTATTATTTCTTCTTCCTACAATAGTCACAGTGATAAGCTCTTGCAGGAAAAAAAAGGGTTTCTCCAGAAAGCAGAGCCCGAGTCAACAGCTGGTGCACATATACAGACAATCCCTGAATTAGGATGATGCGATTTAATTTATTTTGACTATATGATGGTGCAAAACCATTGCAATTTCTGTGTACTTCAGATTTTAAATTTTTATCTTAAACAAAGCTAGCAATATTCAGTACATGAAATAGTCAACACTTCATTATAAAATAGGCCTTTTGTGAGATTATTTTGTCCCTAGGGTAGACTAATGCAAGTGTTCTGAGCATATTTAAGGTAGACTAGGCTAAACTATAATTTTTAATAGATCAAGCATACTATATGCATTTTTAAACTTACACTATTTTTTAACTTACAGTGGGTTTATCAGGACTTAATCCCATTGTAAGTAGAGAGGCATCAGTAGTTTCTTTTGAAAAGTGATCTTAGAAAATAGTAAGAGTTATTGAAAAGAGTGAAATGGGGAGGAGGGAAATAGAAGTGTATGTAGCTGTGGGCTCCTAGAGTTTAGTACCAAAGATCTGTAGAATCTCTGAGGGATACCTGCTATGATCTCTGCTACTGTTTTCCACTTCCATGATGAAATTATATGGTGAAGTGATGAGTCTGTTTGTTTTAGCAAATAGCCAGCATCAGTGTCAGGCAGTACTCAGAACAGAGAGTGAAAGGAGCAGGGCTGAGAGGCCAAAGTGCACATATGCAGGCTGGTTGCCACAGGATACTGTCGAAGTTGGTCAGAGCACATGAAAAGAGATCAAAGAGGTGTTTTCCACATGATTCTTTGTAGAAGTCATGTGTCCTCAATGACCCTAGAGACTTGAGAACAATTCAGTCCAGGTACTTCTGTTTCAAAACCTAGCATTTGAAGATCAATGGCTTAAATAAGTCTCTGCATGGTAAAGTCCAATGTTTAAGTCACCTCATTCTAGTAGATCTACAAAGAATACCTGTAGTCTTTCAATGGTGATGTCTAGGTTACACATTCAAGTAAAAAGGACACATTTTCAGAATGAACTGAGATTCATGTTTTGAAGAGGGTCCCCTTTCCTGAGATCTGTCAAATAAACAAAACGAAAACAAAAAATAGAAAGTATAGCCTCCTTACTCTCTAAGTTCTGAGTTGAGTTGCCTTATTAATAGAGGCAATCAAAATGAAAAAAAAGAAAAACAAATTATTCAAAATAGGTTTAAAAGATATATGTTTACCTCTGTTGATGATTTAATAGTGCCCATTTGTTTATTTGATTTTCTTTTAGTGTAGAGGAAAAAGCTGAAAAGCTTGTTATTAGAGTCCTAGGAAACTCTTGCAATGTGTAAACATGTGTGAAGTAGTGGGATTATGACTGGGGCAAATGTGTAAGGAGATAATACCTTGATTCCTTGCTGGTGACCAGATCTTTTATCTAAAATTGCTAGTTACTAAAACTCAAAGAATCATGGGACCAGCAGATGGCATAATAGTTACATCACTAGACTCCCACTTAGTTGACTGCAGCTCAAGTCCCAGACCTGGTGTCTTAAAACATGCTGAGTGAGTGTGTGTGCATGCCCAAAAACCCAAGAAGAGAATGGAGAAGAAGGGATTGTGGTGTGGTCATCCCCCATGGGGGGGTGATTTCTCACTTTCTGCCTCTCTGTCTCTCTGTGTCTCTCTGTCCCTCTGGCAAGGACACATACTCTATAGCAAAAAAAGTCTTAAAAAAAAAAAAAAGCCCAAAAGACAAAACAATAAAACTTCAAAGAATCACATAGATAAAAATGTTCTACCTTCCAACTCTATAGTACGTTTTTATCTGAGATCTATTTGGCCTTTAAGGTGAAAGTGGGTTCCAGACAAATTTCTTTCACATTAGAAACTGTATTAAATTAATTGAAAAATAGATAAACATTGATAATAATAATAGTAATAAAACAAGAGAAATGATGAATGGTAAGGTAAATACTTTTTAAATGTTACTCAAATAGACATTCAGTAAAACCACATCATCCAGACAACATAATTATTTGCATCATAAAAACTCTCCTGGTTGAAATTTAAAATATTGATTAAAAAGCTTTAGTTGGACTTTACATCAGCCTAAAAAGAAACGTCCATCTTAATAAAATAGGCAAAACTTTCCTTTTAAACATTACAACTTATTTTCTTAAAAAATGTATTTACTAATTTTGAAAAAGACCTAAAATGGGTCTTTCAAAAGAGACAGCCTTTCCCATTTTAAATGGAGTCTAATGGAGCAGTGAAGACCAATTCCAAAGCATCCAAAAGAAATGTGCAATACTCAGTCAACAGTTGCACATTATCTCCAAATACCCAGAATTTTATATTAATCTTTTAATAGAATAGGAGGCTAAATGAACAATTCCTGGACATTTTTAAGTTCCCTCCTTGTGATCTGATATCAGGATAACCCAGTCTTTCCTAAGACATTTTCTTAAGATCACAAAAACAGCATACTGCCTAGATTTATCTTGGAAGCTTGATTACAGATTTTGAGACAACTTCTAGAACACTCCGTGCGTGAATGAGAAGATATTCTTTGACTTCAGTCATCAAAGTTAATGTTCTCATGACTTAAATGACTTCATACAGTCAAGTTTATTTTACACTGTCCGTTACTTACTATTGCAAGTCAACACAGCACAGGAATTGATGCATTTTGTGCCTTCAATTCAAATTAAATAGCAAACACGGCTGTAAACTTTTTGGTCAATGAATAAAAAATATTTCATTTCTAATTCTTACCAGAAGGATTTGAGTTTAACAATAACAGATGAATTGGGCAGGCATGGAATACTAAATAGGAACTGGCAAATGAAATATTCTAGCTATTTGCTTTTACGATGAAAATGAGAATTGATTCTGCACTGAGAAAGAGAAGTAAAAGGACCAAGTGTTTTTTTTTAAAAAAAGCTTTCTCCACTAGAAGAGCAAAATAGCACTCAGTGGTATTGCATTGTTAACAAAATTTCTTTATCAGAAACTATAATTTAATATTTAAGTATCTAATTTACATGTGACAAGGTATCATATTCAAAAAATTAAATTGCAACTAGAAAACTATTTACCACTAAAAACAATACCAAATACAACCCAAACATTTATAGGAAAGCAATAGCTAGAATTTTAATTTGAAAAAAATGTCTCATCATATTTGGCTCATTAAACAAAGCATCCATTGTAGCCTGTAAGAGAGCATCTCTTCTAATTCATCAAAAGTTTACCCTTGTAGCATGAATAACATGTAAAGATAGATCCACTGACTGTGTACCACACGTGCGTGTATATACATATGTGTGTGTGCGTGTGTGTGTATACACACATATAGTGAGACATACACTCGTGTGTTGATTTAAAGATACTGGATCTACTGATAACTGGCTGAACTTTGGAAGGTGCTGATATTCATATTTCTACATATCCTTTGACCCATTTAATAATGTCTTTTTAAAAACAAAAATTACATAAAATACTCTGTTTTTTATTAACTGAATATTTTCTTAAGCATAATAATAGACAATGAAAGAATTGCACTTATTGAAAAGGTACAGAAAAGTGTTAGATTGAAACTCAACCATCAGAGATTGGGGACTGTAGTACTGAGGATAAATTGTGCATTATTTGCAAAGATGGTGGCCATTGAAATTAGGATGAGAGCAACTAGTTACAGAACAAACTGGGAAATAACAGAAGAAAACATGCACTACTCCTACTTTAATGCAAAACTAATTTCTCTCAGGAAACCAACCCTTTGACCTTCCTTATACAAAGAAACAGGCTATGCACCCTTAACAACACAGTAGACTTGAACTTCAGTTTTCGCATTCTAGTTCTGTTTCTGAGTGTGCTGTTCCAGTGTCATCTTTTTAAGCTGCCCTTGAAATTCTGGCGCATACAATTATTACAGTCTCTTGGCAAGGTTCCATGAGCCTCAACATTCCCTTCAGTTCTGTATAAATAGGGTCCTTTATTCATCTTCTTCTGGTTCCTGTGGTAACACAGATATTTCTTCCTTTAAACAATCACTGAAGAATCTGAGGATTGTGCTATAGAGGTGATACTTGCTCTTCTCCGATACGTTATGGCCTTCATCTGGGTATACCTAAGATGTGGAAGGGGAAAAAAGAGTTTTAGTTACAAAAAGAACTATAATGTTTATCAGCATTTGTTCTTTTTAGTTCCAGTGGTATGGGGACCTTGAAAAACAATATCCAATCAAAATCTCACTTAATTGGACTCAAAGTTGTTTTGTATTTTTTTTTTTTAAGAGAGACTTTTGGTATAGGTATGCGCACTCTCCAGAAAAACAGATAGACAGAGGGACAGATAGTGAGAAATCCCCTCCCAGAGGGTATGGCCATGCTGCAATCTCTCCTCCTCCATTCTCCTCTTAAGATTTTGAACATACATGCACACGTGCCCAGTGAGTTTCAAGCTGCCAGGTCCAGGACTCTAACCGCAATCAATACTGTGGGAGTCCAGTGATGTAACCATTACGCCATCTGCTGGCTCCAACTCCAAGTTTTTGACGCTAAATTCTTTTCAAAAGATATAATAATGTCAAGTCAATATCTGAAACTAAGTGTGTTTTTTAAATGTTTAAATTAGAAATTGTTTCTGGAAAAAGTAGACTTTTTTACATTCATGTTTACAAAGATGACCTTAATGTTGCCTTTAGCTTGACTCAACTTTAGATTTTTTTTTTTTCTTAAATATGTGCCCATGACCTGCCTTTTCTTACTGTGTTCATTTTAGAAGACTTGCAATTGTGTGTTATTTTTCTGTCCCTTTGAAACATGTAAATCTTCCCGTTTCTTGTCAGTATTACAACCCAGGATATGTATTTCTCAAGCACAAAGGAATCATCTCTTTAAATGTAAACATCAAAGGTAATAACAGTCCTGTTTCTTAATCTCTTAGGGACAGTAGGAACTTTGTTCCAAATTCTTAAACTACCTACTGTTATGAAGATATACAAAAGCTTACTTTTCCTTTGGATATGGCCAATCACCACAGAGTGGCTCATGCTTTCAACCCAACCCAGATCTTAGAATACTTTCCAGTTCTTTGTTTCAACAAAGCGAAGTTCAGTTTTCCCAACCTTTGGCAGTAGTTGTGGCTAGTCATTCTTGCCTATTAAACTTCTGTTAGAATTTTTACTTGGACAACATCCTTTCTATTAGAAACAACATTACTGATTTTTATAAAATACAATTAAAAATGCAAAAATTAACCCATCAGTTCCTGGGTGAAAAGTTGTATCATGTTGCTTCCTTGCCCTCTGAGTAAAGCCCTATATTTATTAACATTTCCTGTGAGTATGACCCACAGGAAATACATCACTACTTCATCTCTCCTTTCCCACCTTGCTACTTATGTTTTAGACAACTTCCACTACTTTTGCTTCAAATGTTGAAAAATTAAAATTTCTTTCTTTCTTTTTTTCCCCTTTCTTTGACTTCTCCATCAGACCAAAGTTTCCTTGAAGTATGTCTTGCTGCTTGTCTGGCATACTGATCACTGTAAAGTAAATCCTCATAAATATTTGTCAAATGTGTAAATGTAATGACATAAGTGGTAAAATAAATATGATTTTATTCTCTTTCTTTTTCATGTAGTATTTCCCCAGAACACTCCCCCCCCCTTTTTTTAATGATGAGAGTGAGAAGAAGGGAAGAAAATACAAAAGGGATAAGAAGAAAAATAGAAAATTGTCCTGAAAGAATTTAATACGAGTACTATGAATAACAGTTTGAGGTAAGAAGAACAATTTTGAAAGGGATTATACAGGTTACTTGTAAAGAATGAACTGGTGGGACCAGCTGATGGCAAAATGGTTATGTTGCTGGACTTCCATGTGGTTGACTGAGGTTTGAGTCCCAGACTCGGCAGCTTAAAATCACATCGGGTGAATGTGTGTGCATGACCAAGATCCTGAGAGGAAAATGGAGTAGAAGGGATTTCAGCGTAGCCATCCCCCGGGGCGGGGGGGGGGGGTCATCCCTCCCCAGGGGGTGATTTCTCACTTTCTTGCTTTATGTCTCTCTGGCAAGTGCACGTGCCCTATAGTAAAAATCTTTAAAAAAAAAAAAAAGGATGAGCTCTTCCACATTCTCAGAGTAATCAGGAAAAACGAATTAAACATTTCATATTTTTAAAATACAGTAAAAAGTAATTTTATGGGAATAGAATAATATAGAAATTATGTTCTATATCTCACAAGTAAAAAAGTTAAGGTAGGAATACAGTCTTCTGAAAAAGGTGGCTTACCTGCATAGTGTAATTCACTCCAGCTTTTATTAGGTGTTTGATTAATTCTGCTGAATGCTGGAAATGAACTTTTGCTGCAAAAAATTAAATTATGATGTTGGAATAAAATACATTTCGTTTTTAAAAAAATATTTTATTTAACTTTATTTATCCATTTATTTATTTTAATTTGATCAGAGAGTGATAGTATGAGAGACAAAGAGACACAGAGAGAGAGAGAGAGAGCATGAGAAACCAAGCCACCAGGTCTGGGACTTAAACCGTGGTCAGCCATGTGGGAGTCCAGCACCCTTAACCACCATGCCACCTGCTGGTCCCGATAAAATACATTTCTTAGCATCAGAACACATACATTTTTTGTTTGTTTGTTTCAAAGAGATTAAGAAAAAGCAAAAGTAACCAGGAGCCATAGCTATGGCCTACTTACCACACTGGATTTAGATTTACTTTATGGATATCGTTTATTTGCAATCGCATTTACTTGCAATTATTTGCATACTTTATTTCTTATTAAAGTTTTAACATAGTGAATGTCTGCCTTAGGTATTAATACAGTAAACTGCCTTTCTATTTCTTTTTGAGGATTACCAAGGGCCCAGTCTCAGATGTTGGCATCCTGCTCTATTTTTTTTAAATAGAAAAGAATACGTCCCATAAAGAAAATAGAGTATCTATCTCATTATTCCAAGTTAAATATTTAATGTAGAGCCTACTGGCTACTTCTATTTCTTTCTATCTTTTTTCTGCCTGAAACTAACGTCAAACTCTGAAATGGGAAGCACATTATCCCTGGGGTTGGTGGAAATGTTGGTCTAGCGAACTTGGTCCAGTCACTCAAATCTCTCTGTGTAAAAGTTTTCTCTGTAAAAGTTTTCTCATATACACTTCAGCTATTCATTCCTCAATTTTGTGCTTCTTTGATAAATAACTTTTAAGATCGCACGTAAGACCTGTGTTTGAAAACTAAAGCACCTTTAAACCAATAGTTCAAGCTTCTTTAATCCTATCATGCTGACTAATCATACTACCATCCCAAATTGTAATTTCCATGTTAAAAAAATATATTAAGATAATTTTTCAACATCATCCCATGGTATTTAATGAGAAAATTACCCTGCCCTGTTATATAAGTACAAATTATTCTTCAAGTGTGAGTTACCAGAAATGTTAATTAATAGGGACAATGACTCAGGTAACATGACCCTTATAATGGCTCACTTATTTATTGCAGGTAAAATGTGAAAAGGACCCCAACATGTCTAAGTATGGATATAGGTGAAAAGACAGAGGTATAAATGTATTTTCTGAAATGTTTTGGCTTAGTTTCTAGTGCAGGGCCTGTTGGTATTTGTCATTTGTCCCTTTTTAAATATTAAACAGGGCATTTAAGATTTTATTGGGCAAGTAAAGTGGTTAGCTGGTGATTTTTTAACACAGCATCAATAATGATATTGTAATAGTATAATTGACTGAACACCTATAATCTATCAGACCTGTATGAGTTGCAATGGTTTTGGGGGTTATGTGTGTACACATATGTGTGGATGCGCACAACTTTGCTTGACTGTAAGTTGTAAGCCCAGGTGCATTTTCTCTGGAATTTCCAGGGTTGAATCTGTGTTTTCATTGTATCAAGTAGGAGAATCACTGGGTTCATGAGTGAGTCAGATAGGAAGAACAGGGTTTATGTTTATAGCTACTACATATTGACAGAGAAATCAGAAATAGTACTGATATATATTCCATGGTGATGGTCAGATGTAAAACAATTAAACCTCAAATAAAGCTTATTCACACAATTGAAGCTTTACAGCACAATAAATTAGAATCTCAGTACCTGGGTTAAAATCTTTCTAGCCATCAATCACAGACATGCTCTTTGATAAGTTACATCGTTTTCCTGTGTCTATTTTCCTAATCTGTTTAATCAGAATAATAACAAGGTGCATACAATACAGTGTTTTGTGAAGAACGAATATGATAACATTAAATGCTTTTAGCACATTTTCTGACATATAGTATTCCATAATTGCTTATTGTTGTAACTATTGATATATTTCAGGTCTAAATATCTTACAACAAAATTCTAATGTCCTTCAAAAATTGTATGTTTTTTCATCACATTTTAGTAACACCTGCATTGTATCATCTAATTTTTTAATAGGTTTTCCATTTTATACTAGTTTAAGATTTTCAGAAAAGTTGTAAAGGTACATTTGTCACAAATAAGAAACCAACTTTGGTATACTACCATTGCTTAAAACCACTATATTCAAGGTCCACCAGGCTTTTGTTTGCTTTCTAATTCTGACTTTTTTCTATCCCAGGGTCCCATCCAGGATAACACAGAGTACTTAACATCATGCCTCCTTTACCACCTCTCATCTGAGAGTTTCCTAGGCTTTCTTTATTTTTGATGACCTTCAGAGTTCTGAAGAGTGTTGGTTAGGTATTTGATAGAATCTTCCTCATTTGAATTTGTTTGATATGTTTCCCATGGTTAAACTGGGGTTAAGGGTTTGGAGAATTAAACTACTGAGTAAAATGTCACTCTCTTTACATCATATCAAGGGTGCCTTCTAATAGCAGGGCTTGTCACTGTTGGTGTGAATATCAGTCACCCTGGCTGCTGGGCTGTTTGTCAAGTTTCTCCATTGAAAATCTCCTATTTCTCCCCCTTTCCATACAGTCCTCTTGAAGAAAGTTATTAAGTACAAACTTAAAGTGGAGAGAGGTAAGCTTTACATTTTTATGGGGGAGTGCTGTGATTTAAATGCATCTTCTAAAGTTCATGTGTTGGAAACTTATTCCCCAATGCACAACATTGAGAAGAGGGATTTTGAGAGGTGATTAGGTCATAACAACTCCACCCTCATGAATGGATTATCATAGGAGTAGACTTTTATTACACAAACGAGTTCCTGATGAAAGAATGAGGTGGACCCCCTTCTCTTCTCTACTGCCAATGTTCTCTTTCCC